GTCCATGTGTCTGTGCACCCCCCCAGCAGCACAACTCACTCACACCCTGGTTTGGTTACTCACGGGCTGCAGAGGAGAGGAGCCACCTCATCTTCCAGCACTACTTCATCCCATGGAATTCAGACATCCTTGAGGATTCCTTCACGTGCAGCCCTGCCGTGGTTTCGCTTACCTGCTGAGCACGGAGTGATGTGGTGTTTGGGTCAGACAGGTCACTCCTGAGGCTGTTACAGAACCCAGATTCAGTGGTAACTAAGACTGGTCTGACACGGAGCAGAACATTTAGGCACATCTCACCTTCTCTCCACATTTTCACCTGTGAAGTGCCACATTCTAGGTCTGGTTCTCTACCACTTAATTCTCTGGCCCAAAATATTTATATTAGTCCAACCTTTGTACTATAATAGTAAAAAATTAGATAATGGGGATTCCTAAGCAGAGGACTCCAACTCCAGCAAGGGATACCAACAGGAGACACTGTACATGCAGGACCCAAATTATCTTTTGCCTCCGGAACGGAGACAGTTCTGATGTGCCCATTGCACTTACACAAGGAATTACTGCACAGTAGCTCTTGTATTTTAGAGACACTCTTCCTGCCCCACACATAACCCACATGGTCAAGATTATCAAGATTATTACTTGCTGTTATGCCTATTTATCCCCAGGACCCAAGGCACAGCCAAAAGCTTTCTGCAGGCTGCAGGGGCAAGGATGGGGTTCTCCTCACCAGACTCAAATTTGGGAGCCTCATTTGACCCAGGGTCCATCTGTAACCACAGGTTAAAGGAGAGGGGCCTCCAGAGAAAGATTTGTCCCAGGATAATAAGGTGCTGCATCCAACAGCAGAGGCCTGTCTGAGGGGGACAGGCACCATTACACATAAACCAGTGCAACTGGGACCTGACAGCACTCCCAGAGCACCCGTTTGATTCAGCAAATTGTTCCTATAAATCCCACCCACCACCTTCAAAGGCCTCCTGGAAGCTGATTGCCAGGGCTGTGGCAGCATGGAAAAGGCTCGACATGAGCAAAGCTGACAAGAGGGAAAATAAAAGGAGAGGATTCAGGGAAAACATGACACAAAACAACAGCAAACCCCGAGACACAAGTGTAACCTCGTAGGGAAAGATACTCCAAGCATAATTACCCACTGAGTAGGCTCTGGGCTCGTCAGAGAAGAGGCCACACGTTGTTGTATACTCAGATCTCACTTAGCACACGAGAAATCCTGACCTGAATACTACTGCAATGCAAATTCCAAACCTGCTCTGGATCCTCATGCTCCTGCCTTGGTTCCTGGGGAAGGAGCTGTCGGCCCTGGAGATGGAGCTTCAGTCTTTCAGCTAATCTAAGTTTATCTTAGGATTTATGTTTGATTCCACACTCATCTAAGTAATGGAGCAGTTAACTGGTGATGTGCCGTGCATGAACTGCAAAGAGAGAAACACAAGCAGCAGGAATTGCTTTCTGCATCCCTCAAATATGGTAATGAGGGTTTAAAATTTTATAAGATACTTGAATGCAATTTTTCCAGGGCCTTCCCTCACTGTGTTTAGGCAGACTTAGGCTGCAGTACAAAAATGGTGTTGAATGTTAAACCTGTCATACCTGTCTCCAAGAAACGTTTGTTTCAGGATCCGAGCTCCTGCCCCACTCTCCTCGTGCTTTAAAAGCCACGTAGCCACAGAACAGGGAAGTAAGACCAGACTCTAAGGTTCACACTCCCAACTCTGAACTACAGACACATTGTGAAGCATCTCAGCACCGCAACAGCCTTATGAATAAATCAAGATCTACTTTAATTTAAAACACAAGTGCAAAGGATTCACAACTACAGACCAGCAGGAGTGTTTGTTTCAAATTATAAATCTTTTCCAAGCCCTGCTCTTTTGCATAAAAAAAAAATAATATATCTGAAATACATAAACATTTTAAGTCAAAAATTTTCCAGTGCAGCTAAGGAGGAGCTAAATGAATTAATTTCAATCAACTCCATCAGCCCCAAACTTAGACATCCAGTCTAGGCAAACCCCCTGTGACCCCTCTACCTGCCACAGGTGAGGGAGAGAGTGATTTCATCCTTCAGCAGGTGTCTGAGACAAGGGGGTGAGCCACCCTCCACAGGTGTTCCCTCCCCACAGATACAGAGCCAACCTACACACTCCACAGACTGGGTGCCCACCCTGTGATGGCATCAGTGCAGATCAATTCCATCCCAAATTACTTCAAGTAATCAACTGTGGCTTCAATTTTGAAGCAGGATCTGTAACTGGAGCAAATAGCAGAGGACAGAGATTATGAACATCTTCTGAAGAAAATGCAATTCTGAGGTTAGTTTCTGGCACAGAAGGACTGTCCCGAGAATAACTTAAATTCCAGTACATTTGCATGTGGAGTTTCAAAACAAAATCCCAGTTCCACATGCAAAAGCATATTCTTGAGACCTCACAACAACACACACCGTCACTGTACAATGTTAATCCTGACCTAGAGTCCAATTACCTCGAGGATCTCACTGACCAGAGAGTGTAGCACACAAAATACCTAAAACTATGTTAAAAGAACTCAAAGAGCTGTTTAGACAACCAGAAACCTTTCAGATGCCAAGGGCTGGTGGGGAAGGGCAGACCAACAGCCAGACAGCAGAGATGTCTCCCCACATCCTGCAGCAGCCACAGGGAGATGGAGGTTGGACAAACACCTCCCACGAACACAGAGATCAATCCTGGGATGTGCAGCACAGCTCAAACTTTTCCATTCTGTCTCCTACAGCATCCCCAAAATGCCACCCAACAACTGCCTCAGGGCAGCATTTCTCAGCCTCTCCTGGGAGAAGGAGCTGGGAAAGCAGCCCCAGGAGCAGGCTGCTCACACCCCAGCCAGCACCAGAGGTCTTGCACGTGGTGAATTGTCAACCACAAGGACCTGGTGGTGGGAGCACCTGGTCTTCACAGAGTTCCCTTGGAGGCCTGTGTTCAAGGGTTTCCAGAAGCTTAAAATCATGAAATGGATTCAAGATTGACCACTAAACCATACACATTCCGCAGCAAAAGAGAAGCCTGTTGATGCAAGAGAGCCACTTAGAAACAAATATATACATATCACATCACTCCCGAGGGAAGTGTGGGCAGGTTTCCAGGTCCACATTTAACCCAAGGAAATTAAAATCGTCTGTGAAAAAGTCTCAGAGGAAAAAAATTCAAGTCTTTGTGCATCGTTTGACAGTTTAAAGGGGTCAGTGCCCCAAAATGAGTCAGCACAGGACTCCAGTGTAGAATGAAGGAAGCAAAGATCACATTTCTAACTGGGAAACATCATTCCAGTTCAGTGGTCAGCAGCCAAGGTGTGCAGAAACTCACAGACATTCAGATACACAACTTCAGACTCCGCTTCAAACGCCATCCTCCGGCAGCAGTGATTCCCAAGGCATGGAATACCCGCTTTATCCTTGGTCTCACCTGGATCTAGTCTGTATTGATTGTCTTCAGCAAAGGAGAAGCCCCAGAAGGCTGCAAATGCACGGACAGGATTCACACTCATCCTCGAAAACCATCGCTGACAATTTTCAAGCACCATTCACAGGATGAAACCATCTGGGCTCTTCATTTTTTAGATTTCTTTTTTTTATAAACATTCCTTTTTCCCCACAATTTCCCCTCAGGCAGAGTCAGCAGGTGGAGGTGCGCTTCCTGTACTGTTGGATAAGGGGCACCAAACACTCTGGAAGTCCTGTCTGGAGCAAAAAGGGATGATCCAGAAGTTCTTGTGCTGTTGCTCTTTCCAACGGATCCCGTGTCAACATCCTTTCCAAGAAGTCTCTCAGAACTGGGGAGGTCTGTGAAAAAGCAACCAACCAAGTCAACCCTGCAAAGCCACCAGGCACAGCTCATGCAACACCAGGTTGCCCAGGTGGGCTTGGTTAAAGGGATCCTGCACCTTCCCCCTCTGTATCCCTGTTTTCCCAGCAATGTGACATGGTTCTCACACTTTTCATGTTAGGGACGTAACCTTCTGTCACTGGTACGCACAACACTTACACAGGTTGTTTTCTTTCCAATGGGCCACAGCCAATTAAGACCAGCCTGCTGGAGTGTCCTTCCATCCAGATCACTCCTGTTTCCCATTTCATTATTTTCTGCAGTTCAGCTCAATAATTCAGCAAGATTCCTGCTACCTGAGCACATCCCTTGGGTGGGAAGGGTGCCTCAATTCATTCTTTTACTGGTCACAGATTGTGGAAAAAGCAGTTCAATAAGATTCCCAAACTGGTTTTGAGAGCCTGGAACCCTCATGCTGCTGGTGTAAGAAGGTGAAAAAGCTGCAGAACAGGTACCAAAAAGCTGAATGACCTCCCAGGTTTGTCCTTTGGAAGAGCTGTAAAAGCCTGGAGTAGCCAGCCCCAAGCACCACTTCCAGGCCCTGCACATCTCCTGCTGGTTTAATCCTCCGCATCGTTAAAACGGAATAAAAAATGAACTTGGCTTATATTTATTTATTTAAATGCTGTTAATGACATCCAGTTTAGGTTGGGGGCATTTTCCCAGCTCTGGCTCACTTAGAAGTAGAACATGAAATCCTGTTCACACTGAGCTACTGTTTATTTCAGGAGCCCTTTGGATGGGATTGCTGGGATCGGTGGAGGTAGAAGGCATCGCCCAGCTCAGGATGAGTGCTGGGATCCAGCCTGTATCCCTGGCAGAGACTCTGCCCATGCCTTAGCAAAGCAGCAGGGACTGTCCCAGTGACACCCCTTGAACCTGGTGCACCAGTACTTCAGTCACTGACCACAGGAAGTCAGGGACTGGCACCAGGATGGAGGGCTGAGTTCCCCCAGGACATGGGGCAGGACAGCCCCTGGCCTGCAACCCAGAGATCTGCTGGAAGCCAGGCTGCTTCCCAGGATAACTGGAGCAGAGCAAGACTATGATCAGCTCTGGCTGTCACAGCCAGACAGCAGGGCCATGTCACCAAGTAAGGTGTGACCCAGACCAGGCTGGCTTTACACTGCCCAAGGAGGGCGAGCACTGGGTCCAGAATGTGACCATTACATTTTAATTAGTGTTGCAAAGGCAAAGAGGAGAGAGCAGCTGTTGATGTTAGTTCAGCAGTCTACTCTGTTAAATAATTCAGTTTTAGCAGCTGCAGATCCTCTGATTAACTGGAAAGGCTGGGTAGCTCAGGATGCTGCAGAAGCTGTTTGATCTCACAGTCTCAGCCTGGAATGAAAGGATTGCTCCAAGTGGGGACTGAAAGGTGATCACTGTTTCTTATGCCACTGCTACTTTTTCCTAAAAAACCATGAAGCCAAGTTCATCTTCAGAGCAGCTGCAGAGTCTCCACAAGCTCCTGTGTGTCCTCAGTTCTGCTGCTCTGACAATACCACAGTCTTTGCAGTCCTGAAGGCCGCAAAGCTGGAAACTCCTGAGGATCCTCCTGTTTCCTTCCCTGGAAGATGAGCTACTCTATCGACATCAGCAAGTGGAAACTGCTGGGTCCAGCCAAGGCAGCTCTGATTTGCAGTCTCCATTTATGCCCAGGTGCCCTTACACTGTCAGCGCTATTCCCAACACAGCCACCAGCTGTCAGCAGCAGCCACCGAGGGCCCGGGGCCAAAGCATTTCCCAGGGAACGTCCTAGCAAGACCATTTCCACAGCCAGCTGTTCTGGGAACAGCTGATAGGGATGTTCCCCTGTGATAACCATCAGGTGTACAAGTGTTTGCCAGCATTCTCACCCTGTGGAAGTTCTTCAGTTTGGGAGGAGGACTGTCTCGGAGTCTCTTCATTGCCTGGACTGGAGAATCACTAAAGTAGGGGGGTTCTCCATCCACCATCTCTATCACCATGATCCCCAGGGACCAGATATCCACCTATGGGAACCAATGGCACATCAACACACACAGTTCAGAGCAGCAGGTCCTTGCTGTGTTGCTTTCACCAAGGCTGCAACACTCCACCCATGACAAATGGTACCAAGTCAAACACTGACCCCTTGATGCTCTTGGGCTCCTTACAGCAGTTTAACAAAGTCAGTTTTGCACCCAGGACTGAGCATCAGTGGTGTTGCAACATGTAAAGGTCTGCAAGTAACTGCCTGTGCTACACCTGGTTCCTTGGTAAACAAAACTCATTAGTCTGCTGCCACCTGCCCGGAATTCCAGAGCTCCCATCCCTGCCTTCCCCGAGGTGAGCCCCTCGGAGCTCACATCTCCTCCCCTCCCTTTCTGGCACCCATTTACTGATCTCTATCGTGTCACAGGCTGCTCCTTGCTCCCATCTGTCCACAGCTGGTATAAATCTAGGCCAAGCTTCAGGTGTAAGAATAGAATAAGTTTATGCCTCTTTCCTGGAAGCAGAACAATCTATTTTTCTACTGACTTTGAAAATACTGCCATCATCACAATCAAATCTGTAGTCACGCTTGGCTTTGTTTTAAATAGTCTAGAGGTTCTTCCTAGAAAAGCCAATAGTTATTTTCCTGTGACACTTGAGAATATTATTTGCTCCCTCTCCTGGTATTCGGGAGGTGTCCCTTACCTCGGTGGTGTATGGTATCCTGGCAATGACTTCTGGAGCCATCCAGTAGGGAGTACCCACCAGGGACTTTCTCTTGGGTACATCTTTACTGATCTGAGCACAGAAGCCAAAATCTGAGAGTTTGACCTGTACAAAGAGAAAAGCAACCAACCTTAAAAATCAACCTTAGACAACGCAGAGGGAAACAGCACAGAAAAAGACATCAAAGGGAGTAAGAGGATGAGCTGCAAACAAGGGATTGGGAACAGAAAGGAAGCAAGAGAGGAAGGCTGCAGCAGCAGAAGACAGGAAACAGTCTGTCTGGGGACACATACCCTGCCATCCAGCGTGAGAAGGATGGAGTCACTCTTGATGTCCCGGTGAATGACCCCCTGGGCATGGAGGTAGGACAGAGCCTGCAGCACCGACTCACACACCGTGGCAATCTGCTCCTCGTTCAGCCTGCAATCAGGGACGGGGGAGCTCAGCTGGGCAGGGACAGGGCCCGGCCACAAGGGCACGGTGTGATTCTCAAGTTAAATCACAGGTATTTGGTTCCCTATGGCCTTTGCTATCTCACCTTCACCACTCTTCTATGGCTGCTACTGGTGGAAAACAGCTTTGACTTGATGGCTGGCAACTAAGTTTTCGTAGGTTTAATACAGAGAACTTGTATTTTAAATCCTGTATCTGTTCATTCTGCAAGATGCTGTTTCAAGCAGTTCTGACAGGCAGCAGTGCTGCTCGATGCCAAGGTGCTGCAGTAACTGGTGAGACAGCTCTTTTTAAAGCAAATATGGTAAAGCCATTGTTCACAAGGTTTATTGTGCAACCCTATCCAGAAGACATCTAAACACATTCTCTGATAGCTAATACAGGGATCCTTTGGGTTTTCCTGCACATACCTTGGGTACGCTCACACCTAACTAGAGGCAGCACAGGTTACAAGCAGAGAAGACCCTCCTGATTTCCACCACTCTCTGTTAGCACATGGAATATGAGCACCAAGAACCTCACCTTTAGGTTTAGATAATAAGAGGTGTACTTTCAGCCTGTCATGGATGGACTTTGGTTTCAGTCAAGTGTCTGCATAGTGTAAAACACATTACTGGAGAATTACCTTACTCCTGGAGATGCAAATCACTTATCCCCCTCAGTAAATGTTTAGTGACTGGAATGAGGGTATTTTCCTCCCTGGAAAAACTGCTAAAGGCTTACTTCTGATAAATGTTATGGTTAGAACAGATCCTGTTTCTACCATGTGAAAAAACAAGCATTCATTAACAGGTTCAAAGGAAGCTTCATAAAACCAATCTAGGCTGAGGTCCCACAATGGAATTCAGACTGACTGGTGGATATAAACACACAGGCCCTTCCATAAACCTCTTCAGCAATTTTTATCTGTAATCCCAATGCCATCTAAGAGCTACAGGAGTTTCACAGGCTCTGCAATGTTGTAACTCCTCAGGATTAAGAGTTGGTTCTCAGACCCTGACATGTGTCTCTGAACTCGGTGCTGGAGGGCCAGCCCAGCTAAGTGTCTCCAGGACACTCCTTCCAGGTGGAGGCTACAGAGGACAATGTGGCTTTTCACACCTCCCAAACACATCACAGATGTGCTTCCAAAACACAGAATCCAACAGAGCAATCCACCACAGGATCTAGTCTGAGCACATGAGTGAACCAAGGGTATACTATGATTTTTAAAAAAACAAATACAATTAGTGTTAGCAATACTGCCTAATGATAACCAACTAAGATTCTGAATCTTCAAAAAGGAAAAGCTCATCCTACAGACTTTCCTGGTCAGTCTTTCCGCTGTTATTCCCTGCACCAGTTTCCAGCCTCACAGGACTGCTGGGAAGCAGGAGGAGGGTGCTCCAGGTCATGGGTGGACCCCAAGGGCCATCTAAGAACAACTTCTCTGCCCTACAGAAATGCTTTGGGCATTAATGAATATCAAGTGGTGTGGATAAGGAAACAAATTTAGGAGAGTGTCCGGTAGCTGCTATCTTTAGGCAATGAGATTTGGGAAGGAGTCCAAATCTCAAGGCTCTGCTGCACTTTTCCAGAGGAGTTAGTGAGGCTGAATTTGTGGCTAAGGTTGCACCACTGAAAACTATCTCTGCATGCTCTTTAATACTTATTCAATGAACTTCCTGGACAGGATTCAACAAATATAGTAAACAGTGGTTTTTTTATGAGTGCAGTGTTTTACAGGGAAGGTCATCAAGGAGATGAACAGCGGGTACCTGAAGGGATCAGTACTGTGAAGGAGGTTCCTTCTATATCAGAAGTATTATCACATAATTCAAATGGATAACAGTTACAAAGTGTAGCAGTTTCAGGGCACAACAAACACAAGGTCTCAGAGGGAAACTGCTCTTCCCAGAAATCCCCACTCTGTTCTTGCTCTCAGGTGTTGATGTTTTTGATTTTGCTTCGTACCTGATTTGAGACACGATGTCTGTGAGGGCTCCCCCCTGCAGGAACTCCATCAGCACCCAGAGCTCCTCTCCCACGAGGTAGCTCTTGTACATCTCCACGACATTGACGTGCTGATAGTCCCTCATTATCACCACCTGGAAATCCACAGGGAGCAAGTGACCACCACAAAAGCACTCACAGCACCCAACCCTCCCCAGCCAAGCAGGACTCCCAGCCCCATGGATGGCAGTCCAGGGCAGAGCCCCCAACCCAAGCAGTAATCCTTGGTACAAGCATAATCCTACTCAAAGGGAGATGGCCCTGCTCCTCCCTGTTTGCTGTGCTGGCTGTTCCCCAGCCACGCCCTCCCTCACCTCGTTGAAGAGGAGCTCCCGGCGCTGCTGCTTCCTCAGGTCCATCATTTTCACGGCCACCTGGCGCCCCGAGTGCTTCTCCCGCGCGATGCACACGATGCCCGTGGAGCCCTCCCCGATCTTGATGTAGTTCTCCAGCATGGCCCGCGGATCCCCCTGGTCCACGACCATCCTCAGGGCAGCTTTGAACTGCTCGTGGGTCACCACCACGGGGTCCTCGCCGGCCGGCTGCCCCTTCCCAGCGGAGTCGGGGGGCAGGTGGAGGTTGCTGGAGCTGGTCTGGGTGTGCCGGCTGCGGGGGGACCCGGCTGGCGAGGGCCGGCTCAGGGGCACTGCCGCCGCCTTCTCCACTGGCGGGGACTTCTGGGGGGTCTCGGCTTCTGAGACCCCCCTGGGGAAATCGGAGGCGGGCGGATCTGGCGGGAGAGACTGGGCTTTGGCTGCAGGGCTGCGCGGGGAGCCCCACTGCTGGGGCCTGAAGAAAGCGTTAGGCTGCCAGAGGAACAAAGGGGAACGGGGGAAAAACAAAAAGGCATGGTTGGGTTAACAAGTAGAAAGGTCAGGAATCAGTTTTGTGTCATTCCACTCTGCCCTAGCACAACTTGGAGCTGATTGGAGTCAAGAGCTCCAGGTCTGCCCAACACATGCTTGGATGAAGGTCTGCTTGGATGCAGATCTTCAAGAACTCCTTAGGGAATGGGTGCTACACTTTAGGGACTTCCGAACTGAAGCAGTTTAAAGGGAACCTTTTAAAGCACATGCTTTAAAAAAACCACCAAGACCCAAAACCCACAGAAAAAAACCCAGCTGCTAAAAAAGCATTCCAACCTCACCACCAAAACTCAGGGGCAACCTGTGCTGCAGAGAATTTGAAAATCCTTTATCCCTCTGTGCCTCTGATCTTCCTCTGTATAAAAGGAAAGAGGATTCATGCCAAGGCTGTAAATCACTTTGATGTCTTGGCCTAATTCCCTTGGGGTAATTACACTCTGCCTATTGAAAACTCTCTCTGCACTTTCCACTGGTACCTGCAGAGCATTCCTGTCGATCAGGCACAGAACTAGCCCTCTGCTTTGGGAAAAGCACTGGGATTCAGGCCAGCTGGAGACAGCCAGCCTGAGACTCCAGCTACCCAGAGCCACCTGCCACCTTGGCGGCTCCAAAGTGACCGACCGTGAATTTGGAGGTGTTTGGAGACATCCCACTCCAGTGCCACACAGGCCCACTCCTGTTCAGTGTAGTGAGATCACAACCCATGGGAACATGGCTTTGGGATACACATTCCCATGTGACCACTACACATGGGTCTCCCAGGAAGGATAAACCTTGTCATGCTCATACTCATCCTGGCAATGTTGATTAATTAAAATGCGACATCTAGCAGGTGGGGTATAAAATACATTATATACTTACATGTGTATATGTAAAATATACATAATTTATGTATACAAACACATGCAAAATAATAGTGGAGCTGTTTCAGAATGAGCAAGCCAATCATTTGTATTATAGGGAAAAATTACTTCAAAGCAAAAAGCATTTTCTCTCTCACAATTCAGAGAGATTATTAATAAAGTTAATAATATGAGAATGAGAACCAAAAACTGCCAACAGAGACTTTTTCAGAAGAAGAATCCTTTTCCCATCTCAGACAGGAAATAATTGTATAGGATTTAATTCCATGCACTTTGGGTTTTAATCAAGGATTTTTGTCAATAGCAGGATCTGCATAAGCCTCACAAACACACAGGACTCACTTTCACACACACACAGGCCCTGGAAAATGCCAGTTAGTGGCATCAGGCACAGCACAAACACAAGTGGATGTCAGGAGCTCCTTCCTCCCCGAGTGCCAGCTCCACCCCTGCACTCCTGTGCTGACATGCTCACAGCAACACAGCATTTATTTTCCAAATCTCATTTTGTCTCAGGAGAGAGAATCCAAAAAGGTTTTCTGTAACCCCGAGCGTGCAGGAGGGGCACACAGCACATGTGCAGGCTCACACAGGTGTGTTATCTCCTGCTCCCACAGCCGACAGCCCAGTGGACACATCCTCAGTCCTGGGACACTGTGAGGTGTCACTGGTTCTCCCACTCCTGTCTCCCATATTGGGTTTAAAGGAAGGTTCACTCAACCTTCCCATGTGCCTGTTATGGCACCCACCTCCTAGGAAAGTGGTCCAGGGATGGGACAGAGCATCCACATGTCCAAGGTCAGGTTGGACGGGGCTTGGAGCAACCTGGTCTCGTGGAAGGTGTCCCTGCCCATGGCAGGGGGTGGAACAAGATGAGCTTTAAGGTCTCTTCAACACAAACCATTCTGGGATTCCAGGATTCAATTGTATCCCTGTCCCTTTCACCTGCAGTTACACATTTCTCACACATCATCACCTCCACCTGAGAGGGAGACTCACATTGTCACCACCGGAGGCTGCTAAGAACACATCAGATAAACAACTCCCAGCTATGGCACAGATCCCTCCCTGGAGCAGGGAGATGGACTAGATAGCCCCAAGGTCTTCCCTGCTCCTCTCCTCTGACAAATACCTGGAGTTCAAATGCACCCAAGCACATCCATTTAGCTGGGAACCTCTGCTCCTGCTGAGGATGGCAAAGACACTCTGGCTAGGGAAGACACAAGCGGCCAGTTCCAGGTACTCCAGCCAGTGTAGATGAGCCCAGAGTCACTGAGACAGCAATAAGTGCAGCTTATGCTACACAAGAACTGCATTCCTTGAGAATCCCACTGCCTTGGAAAGGAAATCCATTGTGCCCAAAGCCATGAGCCTGATCCTTATGCAAACTGCAAGAAGCAGGTTGGAGACATCCCCTGTCCCTGCAACACACTACAGAAGAGTCAGTTTGGTTGGGATGGTGGTTCCTGTCATTATCTTCCCAGTTCAGGGACTCTGGAGCTGCTGCAAATTAGCCTGGTCCAATCCCAGCCCAGCCCAGACTTTGAAGGCAGCGGCCAAGCCATGGGAAGTTGATGGGTGCTGGGTCAGCCTGGGAAGGAAGAGCAGCAGTGGCTGCATTTCCTATCCAGATCCAGAGATCTTCTCCCAGTTCAACACAAAGTGAGTCATCCATTCAGGACAGCTTTCCTGGGGGAGCTGTAGCCATGAGCTGTCCCACCCTTTCCAGCAGCCAGCATTTCCTGTGTGACAGCACCGTGGGTGCCAGTGCAAACCCTGACAGATACAGCTACACTCAGCCCACTCTCCGAGGCAGTTCTGGTTTGCATAGGCAGAAGAACACATTACTAATGGAAGCCACAGTCATTTCCCAAATGGCAAAGGCTCCCTGATGCCAGTGGAATGGCACTGCAGTTATGCCTTTACCTCACAGAAGGGCACAAGTGAGTAAGTCCCCTCATCCTTGCCAGCCCACGCTCCTGCAAGTACAGCTCTGCCAACCAACCCTTCTCCCAGAGATCTGGCTGAGCTGTGCCTCACAGTGCATCCTGCGAAGCACCAACGGACCACACATTTCCCCAGCCCAGGACCATTTGGAGTCCAACGTTAATCATAACAATAACAGATGGCTGCACGATGTTTGCAATTAAATTGGTTCAGCTGTGTACATAACCTCTGGAACTGTAAAGTCAACACTGCACCCACTCACAACTAGGGAATAGCTCTTACCTTGATCTGCAGGGAAGAGCCCGGCTTGTTTGAGGCGCTGGATGAGGGGAAAACGCTGCGCAACAGCCTCCTCTTGAGGCTGTTCTCCCGGGATTTGGAGCTGGGGCTGCCCTCCCCCGAGGGCCTGGAGCCGGCTGCTCGCTGGGCCCAGCCCTCCTCCGGGCTCCTCGGCCCGGCGTCGCTGTCCCCCGGCACAGCCGGCACGTGCTGCAGCGCAGGGGTGCGCTGGAGGCAGCTGCCGTCGGCATCCTGGAACTCCGCCGGGCCCAGGGACTGCGCTTTTGTCACCATCCCGTTGGGATGGGACTGGCCTTCCAGCCGGGCTTTGTAGTCCGGCCACATGGTCTGCCTCCGGGCCACCTTGGAGCCACCATTGCAGCTGAGGTAGTTCCCATACTTGTCTGCCCAGTCTGCTTCAGGACTCTGGAGATACATGTCGGGGGGTCTCTCATCCCCGAGGAGCCCCAGGGACTGGGCTCTCCTCCTGCTGGTGGGGCTCCTGCCCCTCAGGGTGTTCGAGCTGATGGCAGAGAGCTTCTGGATGTCGTTGAGCAGCCCCGAGATGTAGCCTTCCACTTCCACAGTGCTGCCTCGTACCACGGTCTGGGAAACATGGGGAAGGTGGGAAACGAGTAAAAAAGTCACAGTTGTAACAATTCAGGCTCAGTTTATCTTGCCAAAAGTTAGATTTTGTTTATATAGCCAAAGAAGACTCAAGGAATTTAGGGGAACAGAATTTTTCCTGCCTATTTCTCATTGTCCTTTACAGAGGGGGGGAAAAAAGGAATCTTTGGGTCACACTCTGTTGTCGGAGCAGAAGTGCTGTCAGCCCCAACAGTCAATTCTGCTGCTGTGCTCAGGCTCTAAAAGGCAATATTAGAGCCAACCTGGAATATTTCAACTCTCCTGGCTCTCTTGTGCTGAAACTGTGTGACACTACATCACTAACAGCTCAACAAGCTCCTGAAATATTGGTTCTCAGAAGTTGCAGCATGCTGCAAGCTCCATCTGCAGAACCCATCTCGCTGTTCCAACACAAGGTTCATCTCTCCCCTGAAGCACTCCCAGTGTTGGAATCAGCCTCCCCCAGTCTGCTTCTCCCCAATTTCTGCTAATGCATCTGCATCCTGAGCAGTGCAGAGCACGCTGTTCCAGCTCTGCATCCCCCTCTGCTCTGCCAAGCCACTCTAATTAAACCCCGCACACGGGGTCACCACACCTCACAACTGCCGTGTAAGCACCGGCTGCAGAACAAGGCTTCCATCCAAACAGGCACCAGCTCTGGACAAGTAGGACACTCGAAGCTGTCAATATATTATGTAGTGCTCTACCTTGTTTTTTCTGGAACTGAAAAGCTTACAGAAGCTTTTTTAGCGCTGGGAACCAAAAGGTTCCATTTCTCCACAGAAATTCGCAGCATAGGATCACTCCTACACTTTCATGAATCTCTGCCTGAAGGAAAGTCCTTCCCTGGAGTGACAGCAATCTCCTGTTTGCTAACTGAGCTCCAGGGATCTACTAAACATGCTGTATTAATTACACCAAGCCTAATATTTAGCTGGTGCAACACAGCAGCTCCAGTAATTTCAGCAGAACGCCACCACTGCGCTCCAACGAGCGCCTGGTTTGCTCAGCGTCTGAGAATGAAAGGCACAACACAACATTTCTGTCAAACAAGGTGAGGGAAGGACAACCCCACTCATTCCATGGCACACACACCAGCTGCAGCTGGAAATTCTGGTCTTCACTCTACTCCCTCACCACACACACATTCCTCCACGGCCCAGCCGCAGCCACGGAACAACGTGCTGGGGACACGAACTTGTTTGACCAAATTGGACAAAAGTCATTCCAGAGAGACTTGTGTGTTCTCAAAATAAGAAGTCTCCAAGAACATGCTGTGGCCTCTCTGGAAAATCCACTCTAGTGCACATCTCCTACTTAGAAACTCCCTAAAATTAGACTCAGGTCACTCCCAATAAGACAGTCCTACCCCCAGTGGACAGGGAAGATGGCACTTAGCCTTGCTTTGCTGCTGTGTATAAAGGCTGCATCAGATTAATGAAGAAACATCCACATTTGAGCCAAATCTATCTGGAGTGCTCTTACATAGATCATGCCTTACTGAGCGGAATTGAGAAATTATTTTTAACAAGAAAAGCCCCTTTTTATAAGCTACACACAAAAAAGGAACAACTCTGACAGCTGAATCCAGGACTAAGTATAAGGGTTTGGCCAATTAGCACTTAAAAAAAAAAATCTTATTGACTGGTATAATTGAACAGGAATTAATTCAAATGGAGTTTACCCAAAATACTCAACTATGCGATGCAGTCTCAGAGAGTATTTGCACTTGGACTTACTGGGAAAAAAAAACAGTGTTAGTTTAAGATTCTCCTCTAGTTCTTAAAGCCTGTTGGGTATTCTGTCCTTGTTCTCTAAAGGCTTTGCACCTCCTTTCAGCTTTTGCCACGCTCAGCTTTAATAAGTCACACATGAAAGTACCAACCAGCATCAGGCTCAGGGCAAACGCCCGGAAATCTCTTCATGCACATTCCTGTTCTGACAGCGATGCCTGACACTGTTTTTGGAGTAGCCTTTGCCAAAATGGCTCAGTTTGCTCTGGAAATGCCATTGGTGCAGTGTCAGGAGCCTCACTCAAGTCAAGGTACAGGAGAGTGCTGTCATTTCCCCCAGACCCACGGCCCCACACCCTGGGATTGATGGAAATTGGGTTGCTTGATGTGATTTGTTCTTGATAAATCCACACTGGCTGCCAGCTATTACCCTGCTATCTCCTTGGAAGTGGCTGCAAATAGATTACTTGCTTATTTGTTCCACCCTCTTTCTGGGAATAGAAATTATTCTGACTGATCTGCAATTCCTTGAATCTCACTAGGCCCAGCTGACTTGAAAATATGCAACTTCTTAACTAAGTCTCATTTCTGTTCATGTTCTTTTCTTATTCCAGCTTGCATTCCCATCCCTTCATGCTCGTGCTAATTGTGTCAGCCCTCTGAACACACTTAATAAAGGCTGCAGAAAAATCATTAAACACTTAAGAATTCCCGGTGTCATCTGTTATTAACTTTCTTCCAAGATCAGCAGTGAGCAAATTCTTTCCTTCATCCTCCTTCTCCTCAGTGCACTTATGATGTCTCCTTAGTGCCCTTTATGTTCTTTGAGAATAACATCTCTTTTTGTGCCTTGGCCTTCCAGTTTTGTTCCTACATAAATTTCTTTTCTCTTTGCCCTTTATAACTTGACCTAGTTTCCACCCTTCTGAGCAATCCTCCTGCAGTTTAAGCTCATTAAAGAGCTCCTGATCCAACCAAGTTGGTCTCTTATTACACATTTCATCTCTGCTCTGGACTGTGCTCCTATCTCCTACTATATTTTGAACCTCAAAGCACATTCAGTACACCAGGCAATACCTCCTGCCTTTTTCTTTCACCTGTTCTTCCCGAGCAAGTCTTTCCTTTACAAATCAGCATTCTGCTCCAATATGATGTGCCATTTCAGCTGCAAGTCTGATTATGTATAAAACTTACATTATACCAAATATAGTCCCATTTAGTCCCCATGTTTTTAACACCTACACACAAAAAACTAAATATATTCATCAGATGGCCAACTCTTTTTTATATCCCTCCTAAACCCCAAGTAGTAACATCTCTATTTGACAACTCACCTTTCAGCTTTTAAGCCACTGGAGCATTTTTTTTTTTAAAGAGAAGAAAAACTTCCCACAAGCTCCCAAGACTTTAAACACAATGATTCTGTCACTATCATTCATTTTCTGTTCCCACAGCAGGTCCCTGCTCTCACTTACACAGTCTCCAAAGCCAATTCCAGCAGCCAGCTGAACCCACCCATCCACCAGAATCACCTGTTTCTGCTTACTGAAGGACTTGCTCTGAGGACATGCTCCTGTTTAATATGTCCTACTTTCCATCAAAATGTTGGTTTAGAAACCCTTTTAGCCCAAACCCTCCTTCAGTCCTTGCTGTCCTCACTTGTCCATGAACAGCAAGCCAGTGCTACCCCACTCTCTCCCACTCAGGCTTCCCTGGCAACTTCATTACCAGCCCAATTTGCTCACCCATGAGAATGACAAACCTGCTAAAACAGGTCTGTGTCTGAGTTCTCCTCCTCCCTTCCCTGTACAGCAGCTGAACACATCCCAGGTCCTGTCAGCTCCACGAGAGCTTTCCCATGTCCCTGTGTCCACAGTGACAGGCAGCCAAGCTGGTTACTCCAACAGTGGCACCCCTGCAGTTCAGGACACTGCTGTCCCTATTGCTCATGAAGGTACTATCAAAGCCCAGCCCCTGCTCTCCCCTCAGTCCCATACAGATCCCACCCTTAGCCCCACTTCTGGAGCAACGGAAATGTTGCAACAGCGAAGAGCCGCCTCCCTCTCTTACCTTCATGGGCTGGAGCTGCATCCTCGTGATCCTCGAAGGATCTACCACTGGCTTGGGGCGCCTCAGCGTGTCCAGAATGTTCTGCCATTGGGGGGGCAGGCCCACAAATTTGCCCTCCTTTGGGTCAAACGAGGTGTGGACACGGTGCTCAAAGTTCTGCGGAGCCGAGATCTCCGGGCGTTTCTTCTTCTTCTTGCGGAACATGACGCCTGCAGGGGGAAGGCAGCGCCGTCAGTGTGTCTGCGCCCGCAGCGCCCGCCCGCTCAACCACCGGCCACTTCTGGCAGCTCATTGCACTGCACCAAGGGCATTCTCTGGGGAAAAGCACTTTAACAAACACTGATCATCACAGGAGGAAGCAGAGGCACCAACACAGCAAAGACTTGCCCAAGACCACCTGGCAGGTCCATGGCTGAGCTGGGATTTCTACTGACTTCCTTTATTTCGACAAATTCACATTACCTGATATAAGCATTCAAAAACATGTTAGAGATGAGTATTTATATCTTACAGGCTCCTACCTAGGTTAAATGGCTCTGGAGTCCAGCCAGCGAGAGTGTTGATGCCACTACAAGCCCGGAATGAAAGGTGGTTATGAACAGGGCTCAGGTTGTCTTCTCACTGGTTACTGCAAGTAATTAATATCCACTTGGTTCCAATTTTAAGACAACAGAGCTGTTGCCAAAAGAAGATCTGCCCAACACCAACTTCGGATCTCAGTTTTTCTTGCTTAGAGGGCCCGTGAGGGAGAGAGAAGGTGGGAGGTGGAAATCAAACTCTGTCAGCAGGTAGCTGAAGAAGCTAAAATTAAAAACCAAGACTCCTTCCCTTGAGGGCTGAGACAGACAGCTTGTGTGAACAGCCAGTGTAAGTGCAACAAGCCAGAAGCAGCTAACACTGAAATATTCCCAAACACAGGAGACATTCAAAATCTGAATCTAGATTTTATAGCCCAAAAAAGATTGTTAGATAAATAGAAAGCTAAGAGATCAGACCTCTCTGAAATTGGGAAGATATGAAGGAAAAGGAAGAACCGGAGCTCTGTGTGCACAACCTAGGAAAGGTAGAGGACTGCAAGGGATGGACACAACCTCTTTCAAGGTCCCTTCTCCTCTGAAATGTTCCATGATTCCACTGACTGATTTGGGAAAAAGCTCCACAGGTTTATTAAAGCAATTAAAATCCACCAGTAAAAAAATGAAATCGTTTATATGCTCTTCCCTTTCCACGGACAACTTGACTGTTGGCATTTGCCTCTCACTAGCACTGCTCACAGCAGTGAACGGCTCCTCTTCCTTGACAGCAGGCAGAGAGAGCATTTTTGCCACTTCAGCTTTGTAGCAGGTCACTCTTCCCCTGTACAGGCCCTCGGCCTCCAACTATGTGTGCTGAACAAATATTTGCAAGGGTCAGAGACACAGACCACAGAGAGATAACCTTCTGTAGTGGAGACAAGAATACACTTCTAGAGGACACCCATCTCCAAAATCAGCACATCACAGGGAAATCTAGGGCAAACATTTTCCAGGTTGTCCCACTCTAAACTTGTTTAGGGAGCAAAGGGCAGCCACCAGCTGAACAATGACTGATTCCTGGCGCTAGACAGAGGTCCTGAAATCCAATCTACACTGGCTCCCAGTTTGGTCACCATGATCCTGCAGCCACAGGGGTGGGAATTGTTTGTATGGCACAGAAGGACCCTTACTCCATCTAACACCCCAGTCATGCCATCCACCCCTGGTGAAACCCACCCCTCACACTGACACTGGCCACTGCAACACTGCAGCCAGGAGCCCACCAAAGATACCTCACAGTTGGAAAAGAAAACAAAAGGTTAGCAAACCAAAAAAAAAACCACAAGAGAGGCTGGAAGCAACTGTTCTGCTTGGAAGAGGTTTCACAGCCAGAATAATCTTTGCTCAGAACAAGCTCCAATGAAAACACAAATCCATCTCAGTGGAGAGCTAATGGGAAGGGTGTCTGTGCTCCAGGTCTGGATTGGAGCTCCTCAAACAGTGATTCATCTCTCAGGTCCCTTTGGTGCTACTTATTAACTAAGAATCAAGACTAAGGTCAGAGGGCAATTCTTTAAGGAAAAGAAAAGTACAGTCAATACCGGAAAGGAAAGATGCTCATGGTGTTAGTACTGCTCAAACCAGCAGCTGGAGCTGCTAAGGAGCTTCCCAGCCTCCAAGGAGAACAGGGAGTATCTCTCCAGTATTACAGCAAGGGGTTCAGTTCTGAATCCATAATACACATCAGTCATGACTGCTCCTTGATCCACCAGCTCAGGGGTATTTCCAGACACAGAGATATTACTATTTCAACCAGCCTTTTTCCTTCTCCTGCTCCTTCTCTCACAGCTTCATAATGAAAAGATACCCAGGGCATAGCACAGTCTCTTCCAAGTTTGCTCTTTAACTGCTTCAGGTGGCAAAGAGTCTTGTAAAATGGGGTGTTCCAAATGCCACAACCATTAGCACTTGTAGCATCAATGGTTTTCTGAACATGTCAGGCATTTCCCCACAAGGAGAGTGATTCAGGCTGAACTGCTTCAAAATGCAAATTTTTAAAGGTTTTTTTGGCCCCAACCAGAACAGTGGCTCTGTCAGCATCTCAGCTTGCACAGGCACAAACACTGCATTTGTACACTGCCATAAATCCCCATAGCTGTCACCGAGCCCCTGCCCTGCACTGCCATCCCAGAGCCCAAAGCCCCCCAAGACCCTGCAAGGAGCAGCTCCAGAGTTCTTGCTCGGTTTTAGGGGACTGGCTGACATGGCCTGCAAGTGCCTTATTGGCTTATAATAGACATCTCAGAAACAACACAATGTAATCAGCTCCACACACAACACACCCCTGGGCACCCAGTGGCATTTGCTTTACATCTGATTAGAAAGAGATCAGACAGGTGGTTTAAAGGTAAACTGCATTAAGAGCAAATGAAATCCATACACTAAAAATAGTTATTTGAAATATGGATTGTAATAATCTGGGTAGGTTTTGCATTTCATCGAGGAGCTCTGTATTTAACCAGCCTCCTTTCACTTTGTGGTTTTCATGCAAGAGCTATTTATTTTTATTTCCAATACCCAGCTAAAGAATGTTTAAATAAAACACATAAAAACAGGCCTTTTCTCAGTCAGTAAGAAATTCATAAGAACATTTTATGCATATAAAATTTTGTAAATCAAGCCAAACCTGTATTTAAACGTAGACAGCATCCCTTTAATATAACAACACAAATACTGTGACACTGATTTTATAATAATCTACTAGACTTTAGTCTTTCATTCAGTGCTGACAACTGTACTGTAAGAAATGTCACAAACATAAATAATAAAAGTCACTACCACAAGACAAAAGCAGTCGGAGATTGAAATTCTCTCAGCGATCCATTCCTGCTGCCTGGGAAACCACGTTAGGTTTTTCAACTCCAGATATAGCTGTTCCTGGATGATACAGTTCCCAAAGCTGTCACATCTGCCAGTGAGCACGGGAAAAAAATCCCACAGCCAGCGGATCCAGAGCAGGGGGAGGGATCGGCTGGGAAGGAGGGGCAAGAAGAGAGAAGGGTCAGGCTCAGATGAGAGGAAGGGGTGGGAAGATTAAGGATGGAGGGGGAATGAGAGTTAGGAAGGAGAGAGGAATGGGGGGAGCCAGGCGAGCCCAGGAGCAGGGCACAGAAATGAACCAACCCCTCTGATAAAAACAAGTAGCCAAACGTTATGAGAAATGGCTCCTTCCAACGCCCAGCCAAAGGCAGCGGCAGGCACTGGCACTTCACCCGACCTGCCTCCCCCCTGCTCCCGGCCAGCCCCACGCTCCCAGGACCCAGGGAGCGTGCCCTCCCTCCCTCCCACAGGCACTTGATGATAGCAGGGCAGCGCGGAGCTCCTTCAGCCTCGCTCGGGCAGCTCCTCGTTCCAAATAAGCCTTCCCTCCCCTCCCCGCTGCAGCACCGAACTCACTCATCGGCTCCTCGCGTCGCTATCGCGGATCTGGACACAGCTCCCTACATTCCTCCCGCCCGGACCGGAGGGAACGCTCCGGCCCCGGGCTCAGCAGAGCCGGTCCCATCATTTCCAAGTCCTCCCGCAGCTCATCCGCCAAACTGCTCTGGCCAGCTCCGAGAGGGGAGGGAGAGGAGGAGAACTCTTCCTACAGGACCGGAGGAACTGCAATATGCAGAATGAGTTTGCAGTAGGAAGATGAAGATCGCAGAGAACCCGCCAATTAAAAGGAAAAGCCTATTTCCATGCTCTGCTCCGCAGGTCAGTGTCATGTGCTGCCTTGGGAATGGCTCCCGGGCTAACCAGGCCATTAGCCATGCGTGGCACATGCACACATGTGTGTTCACACTGAGGGAACTGGCAGGGTGCACGCAGGGAGTTCCACCACAGCCCAGACCTACAATCCTCCTGGTTGCCTTCCTGAGCTTTCCCACATCCTTTTTATTTATAAGAGGCCATCAACATTCGCAGCAGTTTGCAGACACAGAGAAATGACAGGTTAGGTCCCTGAGGAGCTCACAAACCCAAATGTGACTTCACTCAGCAAGGAATGGCAACAAGGGTCAGTGGAAAGCAAAACGGTCCAAAATCTGAAATGGGATCTAAGAGCACAGCTCTGACTCCACGACACCTTCCTCAATTGGCTGCAATTCTAGTTTTAGAAATACTGGTTGAGGCACTTTTTTCCTCCTAAAGGAGAGTGGCTATTTGCTTGCTGTGCATCCCTTCCCCCCTTCCAAGTCCTTTCCTTGCACTCCTCTCCCTCCCCAGCCCCCCATGGCAAAGCTGCGTGTTGGAGTGAAGCGGCAGCACAGCAAACTGATGTAATGCTCTAAATCCTGCCCAAACACACACATGAGAGCACAGATTAATATTACATTAGAAATAAGCTTAGGGAGAGACATATTTGTTACATTGGTGGGTTTATTTCTGACAAATGAGAAGAACAACTCAACTCTTTGAGATTTTTTGCCATGCCTCCACTGAGCAGGGTCCAAAGGCTCCAGTGCTGCCTCTTCCTCCCCTGCTCCATTTCCTTCTCGTAAATTAGGGCTAAAAACTAAAAGCCAGTGAACGCCTATTTGCTCAGCTTGTTTTGGATGCTGCTGGGTGACATATTTTTAGGTGTGTTTTAGCTATACCACACCAAATTCATTCTGGGACCTATCAAAGCATTTGCATAGAAAAGACCTCTTGAACTTTCCAAAACCAGTGCTGGCATGTCCCAATCGCTAATGGGCTTTCCCTCGACAATAATAAAGTTTTCCCTTATTTACAGGCCCTAGGAATCCCAGCTGAAGTCACTGTCCCATCGGGCCAGTCTCTGAAGTCAGGCCCCACCCTCCAGAGGTTTCATCTAAACAGACAAAAGGTGAGGAAAAGGAATTATTATCCTCATTTGCAGACTAGACAGAAAAAAAATTACTAGCCCGGTTTCTTCCCAGCTATGTCTAGAACAGCAAATCTAAAAGAGCTCCCAGGTATGTCTCCTGGCCACTTTTTAACTTTCTGTCAAGGCCAGATCCAGACCCAACACACCCTGGCTACAGAGAGAAAACACAGGTGCAGGGCCCCAGCAGCAGCCAAGACACACTCTGCCCACAGGTTTGATCTTGACACCAGCACGTAGGTCCAGACACTGTGACAGAGCCCAACAGCACAGACAGAAACCACACCCAAACCTCAGCTGCAGTCCAGGGCCTTGATTATTAGACCAGCCTTTCATGCTGGGTTTGGTGTGTGAGAGGGTACAGCCACCAAACCCTGCTTCAGCACCGGAGGAAGTGGCAACTCATGTCCACCCAGAGCCAGTGGGACATGTGCTGCAGGTCACCGGGCTGAGCCCAAAGCCACGACACCAACTATGACCCTTTTTCCCCACTTAATGTGGGCTGTGTCCTGCTCTGGCTATACCAAACCATGCAGTGCCTCACACCTGCACACCTCACTGATCCCTGTCCCAAGAGCAGCTGCTTTGTTCCACAGGCATTTAATGACATTATTTTGCCAAAAAGGATGCATCAGGGTTAAAAACAAGTGGCTGTATTTTGCTGTTCATGTAAAACACCAAAGAGCTTCAAGAAAAGGGCTTGAAGGATTCAGGGCTTCAGTTTCCACTGTCTTGTGTGACAGATCCATTCAAAATCAGCATAAAAATACTACCGAGATTAGAGTAAGAACATTTAAGGTTCTGTCTCCAGAAATCCACATGAAGAGACACATCATCTCTGCCAGACGAGAGGTTACGCTGGGACAAGCACAAGGGGCCACATCTGGCAGGCGGGGTCACATGGCAGGGGAAGGAGCCAAGGCTGTGTCTGGGGAACACGCGATGCCACAGCACCGGGCACCGCGTCCTGCGGCTCCATCCCAGCGCCCTGCCCGGCCGGGCCCAGCTGCCTCTGGCACGACGGGTTACGAGAGGGAAGCTGCAGGTCTGTGCTGCCCATGGGCACGGCACAGATCTTACTGTGTGTCCTGAGCAGGGCTGAGCTCCCAGGCAGACCTGCCCCAGCAGAGGCACCGGTGCTCACAGTCCTGGCTCACAATGCTCACTCCAGCAGCACAGCCAGGGGCTGGCAGAGACACCCCAGCGATGTCCCAATCACCCGAATATAGAGATGCAAGAGTTAAACTTCATTCCAACCAACACTAAACCATCTTAGTCCCTGTTTATGCTCATCATGTTCTCCCAAAGTGAGATACAAATATATTTAATTGCTGTCAGCAGCCTGCAAGGCAGTTTGCCTGTGTTATCCTCACAGGATAACTATGGGAAAACTGCAGCCCACACAGTGTGCCCCAAAACACAGAGGAGACAGACTAGCTCGAACTCCTCAACCTGGCTGACTCTCAGTGCCTTCCTGCTCACTGCTGCCAATACCGAGATGGAAACAAATCGTAACAGACAAGTCTTCTCCCAGGGAATATCGGTTCTCCTGCTCTGTTTGCAAAGGGCAGACCTGCCATGAGTGCGAGTGCTAACACAGCCTCGGTAAAAACCAGGTTAAAACCTGAGGTGCACTCGGAACACAACACAAATAACTGGTGTTGGCTACAGCTGTACTCTGTTCATCAATTAATTACAAAATAATCCATTTACTAACACTACAAGTAAAATGGCTCAGCCTTGGGGAAAATGTAATTTCCTGAGATATTTCTGAGGGAAATAGAGTTCGACTTTTAGTCTTTGTGCACCCTCCATCCCCCTTGCTCTCTTTTGGCAGCCGAATGGAAAATCAATCTCAGAACGACAGTATTGGCACTAATGACCCCATCTCAGTGCATTAGTCCTCAAGCTACAGGGTAATCCTGCAACTTTAAACCATATTGAGAAACTCCTAAAAACATCCAAGTCTCCCTTGCACTGAGCCTATGCAATTATAACTCAAAGGCAGGGGACTAGTGCAGGGGCAGGGGCAGTACCACAGACACGTCCTGCCCAGGTACAGAACTCTTGTGCTGCTCCCATTGGGATGGAACTTGAGCACCATATCCCTGCTGGTACCCAAGAACACAGTCTGTGTAATACAGAGCTCAGGGCCTGGCTGAGCTTTTACTTGCAGTTGGGCTAAGCTAGTCCAAGCTGTTTTAACCAGTTTTCTTTAAAGCAATTTGCACAAACATTTAGCTCTTTTCTCTCCTTCTGAATTTCCCTAAGCACATTAGGGAAGTAGGTTAAAAAGAGCTCTTTTTTCCTCAGTGGAGGCAGGACAGCCAAACTTTTAAGGAATTCTCCTTAATTAATTTCATTCTCCTTGGGAATGAAAACCATTTTGTGACCAAAGAAGGGTTATGTTTCTCACTTTTGCAAGCAGCAGGACCCAGAGTGTCCTTCCCAGGTACATCCACGCTCACACCCATCTAGACAGAAAAAACCCCTGTGCAGGGAGCAGGCTTTCCATCTGGAAGCACAGTTACTAATCCAGCCAGCTATCTGCTTGGCCACTGTTTGGTCAGCTTTGCTACTGGGTACAAAAGCCATTGCTCCCACAGCACACACCATGTCCATACCAAGGCAGCACGGAATATCAACATCAATATACAGCTGCATCACACTTCAGGAATGAGACTTTCCGGTGGGACAGGGCTGGAGGGAGAGTCAGGCAGCAGGTTCCCTTCCCCAGCAGCTGTGTAAGGGCTGACTCAGGTTTTACCCAAGCACAGAACTCAGAAATGCAGGGGAAGACTCAGCAAATGTCTCTTACTCTACATACATCCCCCAGCCTCACCCAAGAGCTTGCACTCACCACAAATTTCTCTTCTGTTTTTCAGTGCTCTGTCCCCAAATGCATTAAAGCACTAGTGTCCTGGCAAAGAAGAAAGCAAAGATTAATGGACAGGACTGGTTTCTGTCGCTGCACATACCTGGCCGTATAGTTGGTTACCACCTGACAAAAATAATTAAGTACAAATGCCCAATAGAATCGTAGATTGTAACTTAAATAGGAGGAGATTACCCAGCTTCCAGCCAGCCAAAACACACTCACACCCAGCCCCACACGAGTACTACAGCGTGGTTTCAGCAGGAGTGCTGGGAGGATCCTGGCCAGCACAGCAGCCCGAGGTTGGGAGTACACACAGGAGGGTTTGACTGGACCTCTCCATAAGGTACACTGAGGGTCCTTGTAGATACCACAGACTTCAGAGCAGACGTTGCTCTGTCTCCTGTAAAGGCAACGAGCTGCATGTTCCTGACATGCTGTCTGCTCTCTCGAGCATCATCCAGAGCAATTCTTAACCCCTTCTTCATCCCAAGGTTTTAAGAGCATCACCCTTCTCAGATTCAACAAGGCATTTTCCCTGCTGCACTCCCCATCCCTTGAGTGTCAGTCGGCTGAATCACCAGACCCCAACACCACAGCCCCACACCTTGTCCCACCTAAAAGACCCTGGGAAGCAAAAACCATAAGATCTTACTGGCAGTCCTGTTGCAACAATGCTGGTGGTGGACAATTCCAAGGGAGAGGAGCAAGAAGGGTCTGGAGGCAAACTCTCCCACTGTCATGCAGCAAAGCCGATTGGAGGACAGTGTTGCTGGGCTGTAGGAGCAAAGATGAAGAAAACTCCTTCGCAAAGGAATCCAGCTCCTGGTTTTTCTTCCCGTTCAGAACCATCCCTTGAGAGAAAAAACTGTATGACCCCTCGAACTATTCTGCTCTCCCTTCGCCCCAGGCTGGCACTGCCAACACACGTGCGATCGTTACACCGATCCGTGGCACGGCTCAGCTCCGAAGGGAAGGGGTTAAGCCAAGGCAGCACAGCCACTGGGGAGTGGAGACGTTAGTTCAAACTGACAAACCCAGTCCTCTGTAAACACAGGGCACAAATCCCACAGAACAGCGGCCATTAGAATGGCTGTTATGGCTTTAAAGCAAGCAAGTCAACATCCATGCCCAAATCTGCAGGAGGGCACTTACCCCTGACTCCTCATTGCTCTGTGCCCAGAGGTGAGGTGGGAATGCTCTGCCACCAGAATCCGCTGACACGCCGATAAACTTGAGAGAGAAAGACGGCAGGAAAAAGCGGGAGTAGAAAAAGGGGTGGAGGCAAGTCTGACATGTTTGTACAGTGCCTGGTGCACCTAAGCTGCCGAGTTTGATTTCAGGGTGTGGTAGCAGATGGGACACAGAAGCACTCAGCACAGAGAAGCCTCAGAAAACGACATATGCTGAAAGGAGAGCCTCCTGGGACCATCTCACCTTCTCCTCTTTGTCTTCTTTCTTGGTCCCTAGAGGGAATGAGAGAGAAAGAGCTCAGAGTCACACCTGGGCACTGAGTTGTGCTGGGTCTTGGGCAAGAACCTTGGGGAGATCCTTTCCCATTCCCCTCCGCCCTTCTTCACCACCCCGCTCCACTGTGGCTTATTAAAGCTCCGCTCCTTGGCTCTTCTCTCTCGGCTCCACAGCCTTGGGGCCAGGAGCTGCTACAGCTCCTAAAGAACCCGCCATCTCGCCCTGCGTTTCAGGACCTGCCACCAATCCCTTGTCATTCCTGGCAGGAAAGCTTGCATTGCCAGCTCTATGGCTGGCTGTAGAAGAATTCACCCCATTGATTTGCATTGCAGATGAGCAGCACATGACCTGGTGCTTTTCCTTTTGCCCTGTCCTACCGCGAGTGAGTCAGTGCTGCCGGCTCTGGAGTCTGGGATCACCCTCCCATCCCGTTGTGCCTCTGGGTTTCCTGACTCCGGGAAATACTTTCCCCAAATGACTCATGCCCAGCAGGACACCAGCTCCACCACCAGCAGCATTGGACACCTAGGTGAAAGGGGCAGAGGACACTTTGGGGATTAGAGCCCAGGAGAGGTCAGAGTTCCTGTCAGCAAATCTATCAGCTGTTCTTGCTCCACTGCAAATTGAGAGTCTTCTTGGCCTCTCCAAACCACTAACAATCTTGGCTTAACCCTCAGGTGTTTTTAGGTCCAAAGACCAGAGATAAAAGCCATAAAAATCCATGACTTTTTAGGGGTTTGTTTTGAGGTAGGTTTTTTTTTTGGGGGGGGGTTGGTTGTTTGATTTTTGAACTGCCCTTAAAATAAATAACTGACATGGTACAAACAATCATTAGGCTGTCATCATTATTGCTGGGATTGGCTTGTCCAGCAGAGATGGGCCAGCCCAGTGACCTTTTAGCCTTGTTCCTTCATTCCTATTTCTTTTCCTACCTCTCCATCCCACCTCAAAAGGCTGCAGTATGTTTGTACAACAACCAGGGTCACAGAGGTAGTTGGGATTCACCAGCTCTATGGGGACTATAATGGAGAAAAGAATTGGGGTTCACAGAGAGAACCTAAAGGTAATCCTGGCAGTGGAGCTGATGGTCTGAGGTTCCTAATCCTCATTTCCAGACCTGCCAGCTAAGTTGTGGAAGGGCTGCTTCCTGAGCGTGCAGTCACCACTTCGATGTTCCACTGCAGGTCCCTGCCTGCCACAGCCTGCCACAGAGACCCGGGCTTCCTGCCTGCTCCCTCCCTAGGATGCAGGAAATACTTAGCCAGGTTCCTTTCTGTCTGGGGATTAGCTCCTCCAGGGCAAGCCCCGTACCCAGATGTAATCAAAAAATGAAAGTTCCTGTTAATAGTAAAGGATAGTGAATACCAGAGGGGACAGCATTCTTTCCCAAAAGGCTGGAACTCCACGGCAGAGCAGCGCGGCGGAGGATCAGAGGGGAGGAAGCTGAGGTGATCCTGGGAGGTGTGGAAGGAACGCGTCGGGGAGTACAAACTGTCCCTGTCATCTGTGCACCAGGGCTTTGCTGCTGTGCCAGGCACGGAGGAGTCACCCACAGCACCAGGGCGTTGGGAGCGCCACAGACAAATGGCATTTACAGTCTCCAAGGAGTCACCCAGGCTTGGAGCTGGCTCCAGATTTGCATGAGGACTGTATTTCCTGGGTTATGTGCTGAGACAGTCTTCTAGAACAAGAGAAGTTCTTTATAAATGGAAGAGCCTGATTTTACTTGTCAAGACACAAGCTTAGATGAAACCAAGGCAGCTCTGAGTCGGTGTGAACCTCTGCTGCCTACAATCTTAATGAAAAATTAGGACACTTTCCAGTCTTTCTATTCACACTTTGGTCCCAGCAGTCCTACACACTTTGAAGAAAAATTTCCCAGTAAAAGCGACGCACCTCTAATTTTCCCCTTCAGCGACTGTTCCTTTATTACACATTTCACTGCTCCTTGCCTGCCCACTGCTCCCTTCTTACCTAGAGAATTGCACAAGACAATATAAATAATTATACCGGTCCATGTCTGTAAACACAGACCTCCACGCCCCACTCCTCCTACTGCTCTGTGCTGCTCCTCCAGGCCTGGCAGCACAATGCTGCAGGCTACGCTGACTAAAGGCTTGCATCGAGGCCTGCCTGCTTTATCTGCCAGCAAAGGCCCTTCCGTGCTCCCTGTCCCCTCCCCAGACACAAAGCAAAGCCAGTGTCAGATCCCAAGTGCTGATCTCAGCTCGCTCCTCACCCTGCCCAGTCACGTCACTGCGCCGGGAGAGCTCCGGGACCTCACGTCCTGCACTGCTGCAGTAGGTTCCATTGAATCCCTGTCCATCTCTACTACAACACACTTTTGTGAGGAAAAAAACCACTGTTCAATGTTTTCCTATTCCAACAGGCAAGACTGGGCACTTCTAAAATTCAAAAGTAAAAAAGTCAGAAACACACAGGCCAACTCTACCAGGCCAACTCTCTTTCTTCTGCCTCAGCCAGGAGTAATGTACCTGCCCACCTGTCTGGAGCCTGTGGGAACTGGGAAAACTGCTAAGGAAAACTTATTTTTATTCAACAAAGTTTCCAGGAGAAGCCTAACACTAAGGAACAAGAAATCTGATACACTCAGGAAGTCCCAATAAGAACTACAGCAATTCCACCCACAGAGCCAGACCTTCCAGCAGGGCTCCACTGAGCTCAGGGATTTGATAGGGGGCACAAATGCTCTTCCACAAAGAATCCTTCCCCTCCTCTCTTTCACAGCTCTGCAAATCCAGAGTAAGCTAGTCAGGGAAGCGAACAAAATACACCAAGGATGGGGCCAGAGGGGTCACTAGGAGAAGAACTGTGTTGCAAATTCACACATCAGCACCAGCTGGTGGGAGGAAGCTAGAGATAGGAATCAAGTCTGGGAGTCTCATAATCACCACATGACATTAGCCAGGGCTGGAGATAAGGAGGGAGCAATCCAGAGGCAGTTTCGCTTTAACTGAGTGCTCACAGCTCAGCCACCTTCCCCCAAGGCTGTCGGTTCAGAGGGGGGCAGGAGGTGCCAGGAGAGCTGCCTGCATGGCCAAGGCTGGGGTTATCCTCCTGCTCACTATGCACTGCTGCCCTTGTCCAGGGAGTGTCCAGAGATCCCAGCAGGACAAAGCCCTTCCGGCACTCCCACCGCAGAGCTCACCCCATGTGCTTGTAAACTCGCCAAGGTTTACAGTCTAAACCAGGTGGATTTTTTTCCAGTTCCAAACAAAACACAAATGCACCAGAGCTGAAGAGATGGAAGTTGGTTTAGCCAGTGCACACTCAAATCTGCCAGGGCGGTGGGGAGCTTGGAGTCCCTCTTCACCATATGCACATTCCAAACACAATCAGCCTGGGTCACATGGACGAAGGAAATTTGTGCTGCTTCAGGCTCTCCCTGGGTTACAGCCAGGTTCTCCTGGGCCAGGCAGCTCCAATGGTGGAACAAAGCACAGCCAGCAAGGAAACAGCACAAGGAAATTCTGCCAAACTGAGAACACCAGAGGCAAGAATCACAGAATCCCAAAGGTTGGAGAAGACCTCCAAGATCATGGAGTCCACCCTTTGACCCAGCACCACCTTGTCACGCAGCCCAGAGCACTGAGTGCCATGTCCAGCTGTTTCTTGCACACCTCCAGGGCTGGGGACTCTACCACCTCCAGCCCCTTCTGATGCTTGACCACCCTCTCCATTAAGTGAAGAAAGCAGGTTAAGCTTAAAGAGAGTAAGGAAACAGCAGACTTTAAAAATGTCAACTCCCGCTCTGGTGAGAAGTTGAAGTTAAAGCCCAAGAAGATCACCTGAACAACAGCACAGGCTATTTTGCTACTGGTTAAATTCCTGTGGCTTGGTAGACGTTCCCTGCAGATAAAATCAATACAGCTTGGATCACAGCCACCTCACACCTCTTCCAGATCTTTTACTTGCAAAAACTGCACACACTCATTTGGTTATTACAGAAGTAACGTCACGCTCCACCAGACAAGCCTGTGCCACCCTCTACAAAAGGTGCATCTGCTGCTTCCCACAGAAGTCAGGACGATCAGTCCTGCAATGGCAGCATCCCAGCAGAAAGCCGGCATTGCCTACAGATTCCCAGGTCACCTTGGGAAAGTCACTCTGCAGGCTGGTAAAACGACTGTGACAATGCTCAACTCCCCCACAACAGAGGCGGCTTAATCTGTTGTTTTTCCAAGCAAGCTGCGATCCTTGAGAATGCTATAGAAATGCAGATTGAAATCCCTGGCTGGCAGCAGAGGAGCACAGACCCAGCCTCTGTCCCCAATAACTAGGTCAGTCAGCTATCACTCCAGAATTAACCAGAATCCAGCAAATTCCTAGTGGCCAAAATAACGGCAGCACAAGTCTAACACCCTGTGCTGACATTACTCACCCTCTACCTCTGGGTACGTTCAAACCCAACTCTCAAGAGCTTAGAATAATTGGAGGGTTGGAGCTTATGCTTGTCAAAATCCAGGCACGTGGCTCCATGCAGCACAGGCTTCCCATCCCACTTGCTTGTGGAGGCAGGGAACAACTCAGCCTTAGGCAGCTGAAGGCATTCAGCCCACCTCAGGAAAATCAGGAAGCTGCACTGCTAATCCCGTGCCAGGGAACAGGTGTCACATCCCCTCCCAGCAGCAGCCCCCTGGACAGCAGGGGCAGAAGGGGCCTTTGCCCTCCAGTGCTGTATGGGAGCTTATCTGGGGGGAAAGCTGGTAGAGGCAGGGCAGCTGTTGGAATAGAATCCGAGGAAGAGAAGAAAGGAAGGGTTGATTATTGCGATGGGGATGAGTATCCAAAATGCATCTCAACCCCCTGCCAGGGGATGAGTATTCAGAACTTACTTCAACCCGCTCCAGCTGCCGAGGCTGGACCAAGCACTGGCTTTCCTCTCACTGGAAAGGAGATGGGTGAAGAGTTAAACGTGTGGGGGGGATGTTATTATTATTACTATTATTTATTTTCAGGCTCTGTTTTTCTCAGC